TTTTTTTTGTATTTTTTATTTTCATGTGTGTGTTTTTTTGTTTTGTTTTTTGTTTCTGTTGTTTATTTTATTTTTTCTTTTTGTTTTATTTTGTTTTATTTTATTTTTTTTATTTTTGTTTTATTTTGTTTATTTTATTTTTGTTTTATTTTGTTTATTTTATTTTTTTTCTTTTTGTTTTATTTTGTTTATTTTATTTTTTTTCTTTTTCTTTTCTTTTTGTTTTATTTTGTTTTATTTATTTTTTTTCCTACCTGGCCTGAGGGATGGGGGTTCTAAGTGGTATGGGTAGGGGGTAAACTGATGTAAGCAATTACAAGACATGTGAGTGTGTCATTAATCTGTATTCTAATATTTCATTCTGTGTGTATCTGTTTTTCTTTGTTGCTTTAAATCAATAAAAATGTATTTGAGAAAAAAAACTCGTGCTCATGCTTCTCCTGTGGGTTCCCCGTCAGCCGTGCCTCCTGGTCAAGTCTGCATCTCCGTGCTTGTCTTGTGTTTCCTGTTTTACTTTGGTAGTCTCACATCCTGTGATCAGTGTTTTGCTTTCCTCTCATCTCATTATGTTGGATTAGTCCCAGCTGTGTTTCCCATTCTTGTGTATTTAAGCGCTGTGTTCCCCGCCGCCCTTTGTCGCATCGAACCCTGACAATGCTGTTTTCTCTCCGTGTCACGAGCCAACTCCCAGTTCTCAGTTCCTGCTTTGTTTTCTAGAGTTTCTTGTTCCCAGTGTAGTTTTGTATTTGATGTTCGTTTTTCCAGCCAACAAGCCAGAAGATGTTTATTTCCTTGACTGAACAATGGTAGTTATAGTGGTGCAACATTCAAATCTCTCACAAGTACTCATTTGGGTTGTGGTTTGGTGACTGTGAGTGCCACAGCAGTGTGAGGAGGAAGAATTATTATTATTATGTTGCTTTTCTTTAGAGCTCTGACGTCTCATTCATCTTTTATCTAGTTTTTAGGGCATTGAAGGTTCGAATGCTTCCAATCAGGGCAGTAGTGAAGTTGTTGTTGTGGACTATGGAGCCCAAAAAACCCCCGAGTCTAACCGTCATCTTAAAGTGTCTCTTGCTGCTACACTACTACATTACATTACTGCTACACATCCTGGAGGTAGGTGAGCCATGTGCCCTTGTCCTACATTCTTATGAGTCATTTCCATCACTCTGAGAAAAAGCAGGTAAATATAAAACAGAGGACTGAAATGTTCTAATGCTGAGCTCTGTCTTTATCACCACAGCTGACACGCCGCTGCGGTTTCCAATGGAAACGATATTAACTTGTATCTCTTAGAGGTTAGTTTGTGTCTAGTGTCGTCACTTCTAGGTCTGAAAAGCAAAGCCAGTATCGAGGCGCCATAAATCTACGTTCTGTTTCTTCTCTTGTTGGTTGGAAAAAGAAATCAAGTCAAATTAAATTCTATAAGAAAACTTTCTTGATGAGTTTATTGGTTCAGGTGATGGTTTTAAAT